TAACAATTAGATGAGCGGAAACAATGAGTGACATCATTAACGTATAAATTAAACAGAATTGGCCCAAGGTGCGAGCCCTGCGGTACGCCAGAAATAATTCTACGCTTGTCCGAATTAAATCCATTGACAGCCACAAAGTAATAACGATTGTCAAGATATGACTCGAACCAATTCAGCAAAGTACCGGTGACGCCATACATCGCCAATTTATAAAAAAGCATTTTATGCGGAATTTTATCAAACGCTTTACTAAAGTCACTGTATATTACGTCTATTTGCCGATTTGCGTCAATAGACTCCATTAGAGTGTCACTAAAGGCCACGAGGTTTGTACATGTTGACCTACAGCTAGTAAAACCATGCTGCGAGCTGCTTATGTACGGTTTAAGGTGACTTTGAATAAGGGGACACAAAAAGGATTCAAATATTTTTGCAAAAGTACACAGAATTGAGATAGGTCTATAATTAATAATGTTGTCACTATCGTCACATTTATGTACTGGCACGACTTTCGCTTGCTTCCACATGTCGGGAAATATACCAGTTAATAAAGACTTATTATAAATTAATGATAATGGCAACGCAAATTGAGACGCACACATTGATATAAAAATTGGAGGAATACCATCCGGACCAGCGCCTTTGCGGTGGTCTAGCGATTTCAATTTTGTAATGAGACATTCAGGGCTTATAACTGGTATACTTAGAGGAATACAGTGGCTATTTATTAGTGCTAAATAATCTGATGCTAAGAAGTTATGCGTAGAAGAATCAGTGTCACCAAATACTGAGGAGAAATGTGTAGCGAACATTTCACTTACTTCTTGACCGTCCGATGTTGTTGAAGTACTGTCTGTCATAATTACCGGCAGTGAACTAGTTCCACCTCTTTTCTGTTTTATGTACGTCCATAATCGGTTAGGATCTTTACAGAGTTCACGTTCGATCTGGCGATGATAAGCATTATAGCACCTTACATTTAGTGCCGAACAACGTTTACTAAGTAAGACCAGTTCAAGTTTATCCATGGAGTTTTTATACATTTTATATCGTCTTCTAACCTTATTTTTCTCTTTTAATGCCTTTACCAATGGTTTGTCAAACCATACAGGCAATTTTTTTGATTTAGCCTTACACAGTGGAACACAAATACCAATTATCTCTTCAATTTTGCCATAAAAAATATTAACCATTTCATCGACACCTTGGGCAACATTTAACAATGCAGTCCAGTTCAACTGGTCCAAGCGTTTTTTAATGCTTGCATAATCTGCTTTGTAATAATTTAACCTCCTGTTTATGCTATTATACGGCAATCCTGCATATGCACTCGTACTTATGGTAAGCAACAAGGGTGGGTGCAACAGATCAATTCTGCTTAACGGGTTCGTTGTCTCAGTAACGATGCAAGAAGGTAAGTTGGTTAGTATAAGATCTAGTATTCTACCACTTTTATTAGGGATATTATTAGTTTGGGTGAGTTTGTTTATGTGCACGTAATCTAATAAAATTTGGTTAAGGCTTGACGTGACATAGGCAGTCGCAGAGTCACGAGCCACACTCCAGTCGATAGTACCCAGGTTAAAGTCACCTGCTATACATATACTCGTACATAATCCACACTGTTCATAAACAGAATTACAATTGTCAGTAAAGTACTCCAGCGTTCCACGTTGCACGGGGGGTGGCAAATATACTGCGCACAGAGCTACCCGGCTAATAGCTCTGTCAATTGGAGCGTCAAAAACAACCCAGAGGTCCTCACAACGACTCTCCCACGTACGCATACGCTTTGATTTATATTTCTTTGAAATGGCAATCAAAACCCCTCCGCCATCCCTCTTACTTCCTAACCTGTCCCTCCTATATACGATATATCTATTGTCGAATAACTCTGTGCTCATTACAGAACCATTTAACCACGTTTCGGTTAAAATTACAACATCGTATGTTTCGCAAGACATCTGCTGAAAGAAGTTATGAGTTTTTGTACGTAGGCCACGACTATTTTGGTAATATACATTTAACTCCTTGAATTTTAAAGAACTTAAGCTAAGAATACATTGAATTTATTTACAGGAATGCAACTAAACCATACTCTGTACAGTGCTCATATTTTTAATAAGAATTTTGTCGGCATTTTCATTCTGTCTAACATAAATACGACCGTTGCGCACCCAGACATACCTGTACCCCTTTTCCCTGGCTTTCAGCCTAGCGGCGGCGTGCAAAGACTTGTTACTCGGAGATAGGTGTTCTGCGATAAATATAGGTGTTTTAGGACCAGCGTGTCCAAGGTGAGAGTTATTTAGTTTATTGTGTGGATTCTGTCTATTGTAGGACAATGTGGATGCGAGAAGTTGATCGCGGAGTCTCGTAGAAGCCAATTGTACAACGATTGAACGTGGCCGAGAATTTTTGTTGTCAAGTTTAGCCACTCTAGTACAATTAATAATATCTTTGTCTTCAACATTGCAGCCGACAACTTTAGATATATTAGTTACAACATGTATCAAGTTTTCTCTGTTGTTCTCAGGCACACATTGAATTTCTACATTATTTGATCGCGATTGCTGCTCCAATTGGCAAATTCGCATAGTTAAGTTGCTAATGTTCTTTTTCATTGTGATATTTTCGCTAGCTATTTCTTTAATCGCTTCCTTCGATGCTGTATGTTCTTTGACTATATCCTCATATTGGCTATTCATAAATTGCATCGATCTATTCATTTCGGCAATTTCATTCGTGAGCGAGTCTATCTTGTCATTCATACTAAGCTTGAGTTGCGTAACCATATTTTTTAGCTCTTTTCTAATGACTTCTTCCACAATATGGCGTACATCATCCGAGGATAGAACCGTCTCAGAAGCAAGCTTGGGCGAGGTCAGGGCCACTCTTTTACTACCGCGGGTTGTAGAAACGGTGCGAAGCGGCGTATTATCATTCTTTGCACTTTTTGGACCTTGATTCGTGCATTCCGGACACAACCACGACGCGGACAACACGCTTTTCTCAGTCAAAGCCATACAAGTGTAGTGATATGATTTGCGGCATTTTTTACATTCTATATATCTATCATCAAGCCCACCTTTCCCGCAACAACCCCACAGCAGGGCAGATGCATCAGACATACTTCAATTAATATGCGTATGAGCTTTGTGTTTGCAATAAAAGTAGTTTGAAGTACTTACTTTTAAATTCTCTTATGTTGACGTAATTTGCAAACAATAATAGTGCAATATTATAGAATGGATCACAGACACTGCAGCGCGCTCGCGTCCAAAACGTCGCAAGCGCCGTGGACTTCTCGTCGCTTACGCGTTCGTATAAAACACAGCACACTAGTGTTAAGTACCGACTTAAAAGTATAAGTTATGAGCTTCTTATAACAATATCTTGCTTTTATTGTATAATAAAATGCACTTCACAGTATAATCAAAAGTCTATATGGTCCTTTGTAATAGTAACTGCAATTTAAGTAACACAACCACGAAAAACATCCATTTATACCAGAATAAAAATATTTATATGAGCTTTGAAAATTTTATCAACTTGACGCGGCAACGTGCCAAATTATGGTTATTACATATATGTTTAATATTTTGTATTTCTTTAGTAAATGTTTGTGTAAAATTGTTACATATGTTACTCATCTTCTCCACTTTACCTAAATGCTTCGTAATAAAAATAAAATGCACTGTCTAGACTATTTTTGTGCCGTCCAAGCCACGAGTTTATGTTGACCCATATTTTTCTGAGATCTCCATTACATTTCATTATTTCGGACTGCCGATATTTATTTTTTGCTTCGTTAATCGACCTGTTAACTCTATTTCGGAATTTTGTATACTCTAAACGTATATTCATATTTTTAGGGTCCTTTTTCCATACTCTAAATAAATAGTTCCTACGCACTAACATTGAATACAGATTGTTATCTATCCATGGCTCTCTTTTTCTTTTATTCCTTCCCGTCACTGTTACTGTACTTGCCTTATAAAAATCGTTAAACACTGTACACAACGTTTGAAATAAAAGTAATGGGCATGATAAGACATATAATTGACTCCAGTCATATTCCTCGAACTTTTGTTTTAATATTTTATCACTTAACACTTTTCGCATATTATTCCTATTTGTCGACACCAGTCTACCGTTATTACTTTCGCAGTTATCACTTTCGCGCAAATTCAACGATATCCCAATTGCATGATGGTCCGAGACATGCGTTTCAAGAACAAACGAAGTCGCTTCTCGCTCGCCCCGTTTCGTTCGCACCCATATATGATCCAAACATGCCGCTTCACTTCGCCCATCCACTACCGCTTCACGCGTTGGTTCCGAGCTGGGTATAACACACTGTAGGCCGTATTCACAGAGGGTGTTTTTATATTTTGACGTGGTTGGATTTATTATGCCGTTTAGGATGTTTATATTTGTATCGCCTATAACAATAATATTATCAGTTTTTGGAATGGTCCTTATGATTGTGTCAAGTTCCTGTATGAATATTATTTTATTTTTCTGCGGTGGCCTATATATAGCAATTATATGGGTTTTACTCCTTTTTCCAGTTGCTAGCTGACCATGCATTGTTTCTAGGGTGCCCGTATTTAGTGCTTGGGCATCGAAAATAAGCTCTTCCTTGGCATAAATTAATATAGTTGTTTCTCTTGTAATTATATAAGTATTATAGCCCTTTATTTGGTAAAAAATCAGTTCTTCTCTCTTTATATTTATTTCGCTCAAGATTAGTATATCTATTGTGTAGTTGTTTTCTGCTAACATTATTAATATTTCATTATAATGCTTTCGGAGTGACCTTATGTTAAGATGCATTATATGACTATATTCTTTGTTCTTGGTTAAATCTATACTTAATGTTTTCATGTCATAATACCTTTTGTATGTAACATCATTGAATATATCATCTTCTATGCAGTCGAATGTTGATATCTGAAAGTCACCTAGTGTGTACTGATCGCGCTAGTCGCACTATATTACTCGGAATTTTGCATTTCTACGAATATTTCTAAATCCTTCTCCGTTCTTACGTTAAAAATTCTCTTTTCCTCGCTGTTCTTTTTTACTAGAATACTTCCATTTTGAACCCAAATGTACTGATAACCTTTTGGTTTTAATTTTTTTCTTACCGTCCACAGGAGTTGTCGTTTAAACTTTGGCAGTGCTTCGTTGATGTAGATTTGATCGTTGTTGCCATTACGAAAAACTTTGTCATTAGTAATTTTCTTGCCTTTTTTCGCCATCATCCATGTTTTGCGGGTACATTTAGATCGCAGTGTAACTACTACGACTTTAGGTTTTGATTCATGCGGTTTTTTTTGTCCTACCCTCATTGCGTCTTCGATATCCTCCGGGTTTAAATTTAATATTTGAGCAACATCTTGAACAACTGATTTGATATCTTCACTTTGGCGTGCCTCTAGACCATGTATTTCTATTTCATTTTCTTTGTCTTTTAACTCGAGTTCCTGTACTCTTTCTTCCAAAGCCATATTATATTTTTCCAAGTAGATATTTTTCTGCTCAAGCGCCTTAATCTTCTTTTGTGATTCTTCCTTATATTCCAATAGTGTTTGGTACATTTCCGCATAGAACTCAACAGCGCTAGTAAGTTCTCCTAGCTTTTTCTCAACGCCATGAAGTACCTCCAATTTCTTGTTGACTTCACGCAGTACCTTCTCGCCTGATGCTTCTGTTGGATCTATTGTTAGTTGTGGAGATTGTGATACTTGTGCATAGCTGGTTTTATTCCTCTGACAATCCTCACATACTGTTGTCTGCAGAAATTGTTTGTTATTTTGCACACACTTTTTGTGATAAATTGCTTCACACGGACCTTTACATTTTACAACCTCGTTTTGGTGATAGACAGGAAAAGTTTACATCTTTTACATTGAACCATTGCTATAGTTTCAGTTATTTTAACGAACTCGCTAGGCATATATTAATTACACACGTCCGTACGCCAAGCGCGCGCGTATCGTACTGTACCTTCTAGCCCGCCTTCGGGACTTCTTTGAGCCCCTCGCCTCCTGCCAACCCTCGTTGGAGGGGGCAGGTGCGGAGGGACCCGGCAGAGATGTCGGAGTGGGGAGCGGAGGGAAAGGCAGCTGGGCCGGCGCCTGGGCCGGTGCCTTGGCCCCTCTCCTCGGCCCCTGGGGAGCCGGTGAAGTCGGGCCGACGCCGCCGCCGCCGTAGGAGACGCGGCCTCCCACCACGGGGAGCGCGGTCGGCCGCTGCGACGCTGGGGCGCACAACCGGCGCAGGGGGCAGTCTCGCCTCCAGAACGGCCAGACGGCCATCCAGCATACGCCCAACTGCGTCAAGAATTGACCGCAGTTGGGCGTCAGGTACCCCTGAGGTGGTGGTAGGGACAGGCTGGATCGTGGACGGGGCCTCCCGCTCGGGGAGGTTCGCCCGGAAGCGGGCGAACTGAGCGCTCAGCACGTTCACCTGCTCCGTCAGCCTGTCATTGGCCATCTGTAAGCGAGAAACATCGCCTACTAGGCCCTCCACGACCTCCGACATAGCGGAGGAGAAGTCCTTAAGGGCCCTCACAAAGGAGCCCTTAAGGTTAACCGACTTGGTGGCTACCATCAGGATGTTAGCCACCGCCGCTCTCGCCCTCTCCTGCACAGACACGGGAGCCCGGGGGGCATCTCCCTCCACCGGCTCCCGAATCTTGAGCAGGAGACCCGCGATCTCCTCCTCCGCTGCGGCCTCGCCGTCCGCTCGTACCCGTCTGTAGGAATCCGCCTTGGAGAAAGCGGAGCCTGACGGGACGGGGACAGGGGTACGCGACCTTCCTATACGGCCGCCCTTAGGAGGCCCAGACTCCACGGATGGGATGTCCTCGTCATCCCTCGCGAGTTCGCCTTTCCGGCTCTCGCTCGGTCCCGCTCAGCGCTCTTCTCGGGATTACGATATGTCGACGGTGACAGAGAGACTACGTCCCCCTGCCTGCTCGGTGGTAGTATCAGTACACGCCGAGCCCGTCCTCCTTTCTCCACCGCTACCAGCGGAGAAACTGGGACCCACAGGGCCCCACCTTCTGGTTTTTTACCGAGGTTTCCTCCTCCATGCTCCGAAGAGCGAAGAGCCAGCAGGGCAACCGGCAGACACGCCCACCCTGCTGGACCAGGCCTTGCCCGAGAGCCGATAAACGGCTTCCTCTTCTGCTAGAATATTGGCCGCTGGCGATAATCCTCTCCTCCAAGAGAACAAGGAGGAAACAGTGCCATCGCCAACGTTTCTAGGGTGCACTACGGGGAGGTTTTCTAGCGTAGCACCCCTCCCACTACCACTCCCTATACCAATCCTACCCCTACTCCCATTCCTCTACCTGATCTTGTTCCTATGAGGCATCCTGCCCCAGTTCAGGATGACGTTAGAAGGACGCGCTTAGGCCGCACTTTTATTTTTCTTTTCTCACATACCTGTGCCGTAAGTACTATAGACGTATATATGGATGGGGAAGATGAGGACCCAGTAAAGGCGCTTCACGCCCAAAATTGTGAGATCTTCATAGGCCTTCCAAAAGAGGATACAGAAGTTATTATCAAGTACAAAAAACGCACAAAAAACCCCAAAGCGGTGCACATCGTCCTACAAGTGGGACCCAAAGTGTGGCGAAGAATAACGGAGGCTGGTGCACTCTATCTGGACCTGCAAAGGGTCAGAGTTGAGGACCAGTCTCCGCTCATTCAGTGTACGAGGTGCCACGCGTTCGGCCACGGCCGGAAATTTTGCACCGAGAATGTGGACATATGCAGTCACTGCGGAGGACCGCATCTACGCGAAAAATGCGCAGACTATATCGCAGAAAATGAACCGCGGTGCTGCAACTGCTCGCACTCTGGACTGCAAAAGATCGACCATAAAGCATTTAGCTCTGAATGTTCAATACGCAAAAAATGGGATTACCTGGCCCGAACAAATACAAATTATGTATAACTCACATCACTACACATAGACACAAAAACACACAGCAACACAATCACAGCACACGCAAGAACGAAATACACGATAACACAAACACATACAGATATACGAAATGTATATTAAATATACATGAACATATCAGCACAAACAGTAACACAAAACAAAAGAAGAATAAGTATAAAATAAAAGCTAGAGTAAGAAATAGCCAATAAATATATATAAACTAATGTCTATAGAATTTGTTGCTTAGGTAAAAATGTTTGTAAAAATTTATAGGATGCATATAACACGACACAACACAAATCCTGCTAAAAGCACAATTTAAAGATCTCGCAAAAGTACAAACTGTTAACAGACTAGTTAAATAAGCAAAAAAGTACTTAATGCTGTACTAACAACCGACACAGAAATGAACTTAGAATGGTAAAGTAGAAGTACATATCGATGTAACATTATAGAAGTAAGAGCAAAAAACGAGAAACAATAAATGTATAAAGGTATAAAATATCGTTAAGTAAATAGTTAAAAGAACCTATGTAATCAAGTAAATGTGTAAAGTAAACGTAAAATGTAAAGTCAATAAGTAAATGTGTAAAGTTAGAATAAATTATAAAGTAAAATTGTAAGAGTAGAATAGTAGAGTAAATTGTAAAATGAAACTGTAAAAGTAGAATATTGAAAGAATAAGATTATAAGGTTGTAGTACTCGTTGCCGCCCTGAGTGTGGCCGCGGGTGGACGGGGTGGGTTTCCCCTCCACCCGCATTAGTTTGGCCAGCCGCGAGGGGGCGGCGTCCGCGTGTGCCGGACGTCGCCTAAAGAGAGGAAAATTTTGAGACGGAGCCCGCAACAGGAGCGGGCCGGCGCTAGGAGGGGTCCGGATGTCTTAATAACAGCCGTTCCCGGATCCCTCCTATTACAGGCGCAGAGTGGCACACCGTGTGGTTTTAGTCGGTCCGAGTCCGACACACCACCCCGCCGCAAACCCCGGTGGGGTGACGGTCCGAGGGGATTTCCACACGTTAAAAAAAAAAAAAAACTCGTAGTTTGTATTGTAGTAATAGAGTAAATTGTCAAGTAAAATGTAAAAGTAGAATATTGAAAGAGTAAGATTACAAGACTGTACCTAATTAAATAGAGTAGCGAGAGGAAAGCGTGATGGACACAACTAGATTAGCATATATCCATAGATAGATAAGGTCCCGATGTGCCTATGATCGGGGAAAGGCGATTTAAAAAAAAAAAAAAAAAAAAGGAGATACGACTATCAGAACAATGATTCCACATATCGACTATCTCGTGAGATAAATCCAAATATTTTATTTGTTTTTTTTTCTAATCGATCTATCACCACAAAATCAGGCTTATTGGCAACAATAGTCCTATCTGTGATAATAGATCCATCCCAGTACAACGTGGCCCGACCACTCTCGAGAACTGGATCGGACACATACCTGAAGTCACCTCAGTAGTGTATGTCACCTCTAGATTCACAAGTTAGTATTTATGGGCAAGCTGTTGGTGTACAATCCTGGCTACGTGGTTGTGCCTATGCAAATATTCACCGTTAGCGAGACGAGAACAACCAGAAATAATATGCCTTATTGATTCCCCAGGATGGTGGCATGCCCAACAGGTATCAACCATACCATTTTTCAGGATATATATCCGAATATACATATTTATTACAATCTTCAGGTTTGCAATGATATGATTTAGATATAGAAAGATTATCTAGTTGATTATTTAGTAGATTTTCATCGCTAAGCATTTGTGGTTATATAAGGTCCAGGTAAAAGATGACTCAAGATAAGTTTTAGGTATAGATGAAAGCTTAATAATATGAGTACCGGGTTTAAAGCAAGCCGTGATTTGAATGTACGTGTATGTGTATGTAAGAGTAGCCATTGGTGTTTCCGTAAATGTGTTTGTACTCGTATAATATGAGTGGTAAATGTGTGTTCATACAATGATAAACAAAAACTTACGTCAATAAAATAAGAATTACAAATAATTGACTCCATAATAAAAATAACAACATTAGAATGATGAATAACTGACTTAATAATAATATATAAAATTAAATAAACATATTTGACTTTGAAAAATGAATAGATAATTGTGTAGTCATTGACCTTTCGACAACGCAGCGAGACACTTAACTGTTTTTATTACGCAACAGGATTCTGTTGTTGGAGTACCAGTTAGGGTAGTTGTGAATTTTGCAAATAAAAAGCTTCATATAAAAGCTTTTTAAATGATGGTGAAAGGTGTTCGTCTATGTACACCGGTCTTTTTTCTCCCGGTATTCCAATCAACTGAGTGTTTAACTTGTTTTAAAAAGTGTGTTCTTTGTTAAATTTCCTCACATTGGCTAAGAAATTGTTTCTGTTATTGACATTGGTGAATTCGGCAACAATGGGTTTGCATACACCCGGTTTTCGAGGAATCTTCTTCTATTTTATATCTAAATATTTAAAAGGCAAAACTGACTGACTCATCTATCAACGCACAGCCGAAACTACTGAACGGATTTCGATGAAATTTTGCATACAGATAGTTGTAATGACGTAGGCACCCGCTAAGAAAGGATTTTTGAAAATTTGCCCCAGAAGAGAGTGAAAAAGGGGATGTCCGTCATTTTTAGAGCTAGAAGCCTGAAACTTTGTTCTTAGGTTAACGATTAGAAAGAAAAAAAAAGGGACCCTAGGGTTTTTAAAAATTCAACCCCTAGGGGGGTGAAAAATTGGCTGAAAGTTCAGATAGATAGATAGGTACTCTTTATTGCACACCATGGATAGAATACATACAATGCAATATAAACATAAAAAAAAAAA